CCCACGGAGCGAGGCGATCAGTGGCCGGCGAAGAATCGAACAATTCTAGCCGATTAAATTGCTTCTCAAAATGCTCAGCCTAACGTTCCAAACGTTTTGACAAATTGTGGATAGGCTGTCCACTCTCGTCACGTATAATTTCACTAACACCAGGTCTCCTGCTGCCCGTTTCCTGTATCAGACGGAATAACTTGCGATGGTTGCCAAGGGCAGCGGCCACTTCCATCTCTGACGCACGATGAGACCACCAAGATTCGCGGTCTCTCTTCAGGCTGCCACGGAGTTTTGCCCGGAGCTCTTTGCGAGTTTCATTGTGTTCGCTTCCAGCCGGGATATGCCGGCGAGCGTCAAAAAGCGCCAGAGACCGCGAAGAGACCCAATATCTATGTTGGCTATTAGACATACCACATGAAGATTTGCCTGCTGCTAGTAAGGTCTGGCGAACATGTGACCAGTGACCATCAATTGTCTCCAGTGAGCGATTACTCAACTCGCATGTCAGAGTACTTCGATACGCATTCAGAACAGTTGGCTTTGCCAGTTGACTGGTATCAATGCTCTCACAGCGTCATCGTGGGCCTCCGCCAAAACGCATCCGCAGATCAGCAATAACTTCCAGGATGTATTGCACTGCCCATTCACAATCGTCCCACCATGTATCGGCCATCTGGAATAAGGTCTGCGCATACTTCCAAGTGAGCAACCAGTTTGTGCGACTAGCGGAGGCTATTGTCTAAGCTACCTATTGACCATCATACGATACTCTGATCCGTATTGCCAAGCAGCGAGACCAGCTTCCCAGAATCATTGGTTGCGGTAGTACAACTGAAAAGCACTTTTCCCCAGATGGTGGTAGTGACAGCACTTTCGCCAAACTGCACTCTCCAAACACACTAACCGTTCGATTAACATCATTTGCTGACACGTAAAATTTCCAACCTCGGTTTGGCTCTTGAGTGGGAGATGAATACAATTAAAGTTACGAGGGAAATTTGAATTTTACCCAAGTTGGCTCTTCCCTTTTTAAATCCGTGGGGATTGTAACCGAATACGAAACCTCCATACCCTAATGCCTGAACAGTGTTTGCTAATTTCACCTCCTCTGGAGTGAAAAGAACTAGTGAGATTGCCACGCTCATACAAAAGAAATGTGACGTCAATCGAATGGAACACGAGTCTGATACCTATTTCGAAGACCACGAAAGAAACCATGTACGTTTCAACGGAAGGTGTTCGTTTGAGATGTGGAAAGACATAAAAGAGTATCATCGGAAATAAACTGAGTCCGGTATTCATTGGGAACCAAAGAAGCGTCAGGTATCCGTCTAGCTATTTTGCATGCCTCAGCAATGACCAGAAAAAGAAACGTAAACACTCTATTAGGGTCAAAACCTAAGTTTCAGAAAGCACTATAAGCCAGGAGACATTGAAGCATGAAGGTGGTAGGCAAAGGGGAATAGTTACAGCTTACGCTTATCATACGCTTGCAGCCAAATTTCTGCGGACATGTGCAGGTACACAACTGTAACAGATTAACCGAGAGGTAAGTGCTCGAGTTTTGACTTATAGTGTGTTCTCTTCTCCAAACTCAATGGCGATGCAGAGCTAAAACCACAGGCCATAGTGATTAAAGGATAATTTTTTATGGTCATTAGTTCATGTCCGCAGGAAGATCGTCACTCATAAATTGGCGCGGACAGGATGCGCTATTGCCAAATGGCTTGAAATCGTTTACGAGTATAAATATATATTTACGAGTATTTTTGTCTCATGCCGAGGATGATGTTGCATACATCATACTTCTTCACCACAGTTATGCTTCACCAAGAACACTTAACCTAAATCTTCTTAACCTGGATATAAAGTATTCCACCTTGCTCAGTTCTGTTAGTCTGCTGTATATTCCATGTCTGTTTTGCGTGTTTATTTTCCTGCAAATTCCATGTTTATTGTTTGATATCCTCGGTGTGCTTCATCTGAATGTTGACAAGGAGCCTACGTGTCTAAAACTCTCCACATTGATTACTGGCTCTAGGAAACTGAATCGATGCTGGGGGATGGGGTGCACGGTCTTCGCGGTCGTGCTAGATGCAATGAGTGGTTCCACCAGTGCGGAGAGCACTACAGTCCAGCCACCGAATTGTGTACGTCTGGGATGCATTATTCCTAAATTAGATGGGCAGGAATGCTGCTGCATTGCATGTTGAAGGACTGAACGCTGGCTCCATTAATGAAACGTGGCTCACGTGCACATGCTTCCCAGTCATATTCGGTAGGGTTTACACTTAATGTGGGGTATGTGGAAGGAACTGTGGGTGGTGCAGTACAAGTCACCCATGGTCCCCCAGTAGGCGCAGGCACCCAGTGGCTGTCCCAATGGAGGTCACAGTGACAGCCAAATCCGGATACGGATCCGGATATATATATATATATATATATATATATATATCTATATATATATATATTGCCACGCAGCACGTATAATGTTGACATCCCTATGTGGTTGCTACCAGTTTGTGACGGTTACTGGAGGGCAATATAAAGTAATCTTTAGTAAAATATGCAAACTATGCGAGACTTTAAGGTATATGAAGTGAGCTTAAGCAACTCAGACCAAAACGTATTCACTAACGAAAAACTCGTTGGCCAAAATTACGAAAGCTTATGGAATGCTACGTCGTACACCTACAATGGAATACATGTAGCGGCGTTCAAACATAAGCCACTTGCACATTCGCCCTTCAACACACTATGCCTCGCAACCATGGAATAGAACCACACGCACCACTATTATGGCTCTTACGGCATCAAGCTGAGGCCATTCCTACCTGAGAGGAGATAACAGCTCCAACCAGGTTATACGAATAGTATGACTTGTTCATTACTACTATGTGCCTAAGACAGGAGCGTCCACCAAGCTAAAGCAACCTGTCGCTGACGTAAAATGGATAAGCAGAAATAGTGAAGGCGGAAGTGTAGTGTAAGCAGACACGAACTATGAGGGAACAAATTTTATTTGGACTTATGTCTCACACCTTCCAGTGACGTGGTATGCACAGTTTAATTAGCGAGTATTTTCACCCGAAAGAAGCTTGATGCTCTAAACTTCACTGGCTGCCGGAGTGTTAGTAAGGAATTATTCATAGCGTCGTTGAAAGTGGACAATGCTATTATCCAACCCCGTCTTATATTATTGGTGATAGTGGAAGGGTAAGGGCGAAAGATCATCTTATACCTCCAGATAGCCGGAGAATTAAGATTAAATACCTCGATGGGTGTTGGTGTAGTTTCCGGGGTAGACTTCAGTTCAAAGATCAACTCCAGGCAGCGGTTTTACCAGACGAATCACCAACAGTTCGAATGTCTAAATGGACCAAGACGGTTGGTCTTCCGAAATTTGAGAGAAATGGAGTAGTTGCCGAAGTGTTAAAACCTGGTATACTTAAGTACCACCTCAGCCAAACCCAGCTCACTTTCATGTTCACGTGCTGTGTTGAACAATTCTAAAAGATGGGCGATGAGTACTTAGAACTCCAGGTTAAGAGACCTGACCTACGGAAGATTGGCACATTCATTTCGATTTTCCTCAATGAAAATTGGACCGACACACGGTTACTTCAATTCAGTCGAAAATGCCAGTGATCTAAGTTGGAAGCTAGTTCACAGAGGAAGGATTTGCTGCCTATCTTTAAAGATAGTTGGAAGTCCTAGATCCAGATCAGATGGCTTGTGCTGTTTTATACGAGTAATTCCATAGAATATCGTAGCTTTCTTCTGTGGCTTAACGTACTTCTGACTACCTGTAACGTTCGATGTATCTGACCAGCGTACTAATTGTTTTCAGCGACTGTGAGTAAGCGCTTGCAAGTAGTGTATTTCCATCAGCGGCTTTGAGTAGAAGCGAAAACTCGGGGAATCTACCATAGCTGATTGGTTTGTTCATCCCGAAGACACACTGTGTTTGTTGAATCTTACGAACTCTCAGTAGTGTTTATCTGAGTCATGCGTTGATAGCCTTGACTGTCATATTATCCAGACAACCATGGCAGACATCTATGGCACTCTACAGGAGTTCTACTGATCAGTCAGCTGGGAAGCAAAACGGAAGATATAGTTTAGATGCCCCTACGACTACTACTCTATGCACATTAATGTGCGAAAATAACTAGACAGCGTGTAAAAATTTTAGGCAGTAAATAGCATAATCAGCTGAAGACTAAGCTAATTACTGGAATTGACATATATGGCAAGCCAGGTTAGATAAGGCTGCTGCCTTCCGGTTGGTATACTTTCGTAAAATGTCAATGGGCCGATGAAAAATAGGAGCTGAACGCTTACTGCACCTCCTAAGTCGATTAAGAGAGACTGATATTTAAGATGTAACAAGGTATTCGGCATTGTGTTTATCGTGGACTGAGGACATCCGAAGAGAAGTGGACAACTATGAGCTCACTTAATGCATTGAGAGAGCAATAAGACGGTGGTTCTCACAAGTGAGTGGTGCTAAATTCAGCCTCATTAAGTGCGAAGCAATGTGTGGGGGAATCGATTGTCTCGGTTTTATAATTTTAGAATCCTGCTTAGTTACCATATGTATGCAAAGATATTATTTAATTCGCGGTCTGTCATTTTCTCAGCATGAGCCGGGTTAGTAGCCCCAGAACCCGCTGTTAGTACTTGCAGCAAATCGGTTCACTCCGGCTCCGAACATAAGCGGCCGCATTGCGGCCATGGAGTTATTTGATGGTTGATCACTTTGATGACTTGCGAAATGGCTGCATACCTGTCGCTGGGCTTATGTGTTTGAATGTAGTGCACTGTAAACTTTCCGTGTAGGGTGGAAGCTTCCCTATAACAGTGTGCCGTGGTGATAAAGCGGTCACAAATCTATGCTATGATGTAGTGTATTAACACGAAAATCGTTGATACTGATGTTCTGTATTAGCTAATTACACCGAAAGCGAACATGTGGGGTGCGCTGGATTCAGTTAAAAACTCACCACATTCGGTTTGGCATGATGTTGAGAGTGCATGTGATTCCACCAATGACACGAAGATCCCTTGAGGGAGCCGAGGACAAATTCATGCATCAGATGGTTCATTCGCGTTGTTTTGAATACTGACAAGTGCCCCAGATCGTGCTGTAACCAACTGGCCTGAGCCTGAAAAAGTGAGAAGGATGCACGTTGGTTTCACTCAAACATCCTGTAGTGGCACGACCAAGCAAAGATATTAGTCTCTTGAGCGAAATAACAGTACCTGACACAGGTGCAATATGTGTATTTTTCCTATCAAGTGTAGCTGCTAGTTCGTTCTCTGTGACAGTAGGCTATGCTAATGGATGCTTTGCACTTGGACCATTTGAAAACTCCGGAGTATCTCGTGGAGTTTCGTTGCACCCGGTAAAATTGTTTACGGAATCGGTTACACAAAACTTGTCGCACATTGCTGAAAGTTAATGAAGCTTCATTGGAACGGCACGTACAATGGGACAAGGAAGTTAATTGTGTTCTTGAGGTCCTAATTGGTTCTCCGAGTAAGGTGACTTGAATGCAGACGTTTCCCAGCAACCAAGTTGACATCTTCCATGCGCACCAGTAATTAACCGTACTAGCAGCTATTGAGCTTCAATCAAATCCAGAAACGGAGTATAAATCCATCTTCAGATTTACTCGGGGCTCAGCGTCTGCTAACAAGCTACTTACTACCAAACCTTAGGCATACATACGCAGTCAACTTTCTCCTCTTGGAGAACCAAAACAACACGCAACTGCCAACCTCAGGTATTCCGATTTATTGCGGCTGATGTTCAGGGGAACAGCCATAACCAGTTTATGCTCAGATAAATGATCCTATTAGACAAAACTTTTGGACCTAGCTAGGGATAGCACTGTCCAGGTGTATTTGTCCGAGCTGATTGGGTCAGTTGTAAACCGCTTCTTTTTTCTACCTGTCCAGTTGCTCTACCCACATGGGTTAATATGGTATTCCACTCACTGTTTGCACACAGGTAGCAGTGTGTGTATATTTGTGAAGCTTTAAGACGCAAAGTACCCACTAAGTGTGAACATGCAAATAAGAGTAGCTTAAGGCTTTTTATGTTAAGATAGACAATGAGCACATTTAGCCAAAGTTGTACTCATGGAGAGGTGGTGAATCGTGACCACATGAGCTTACTACTGGACATCGAAACCTGGTGGTTCATGAGGTACCGCCCGTAACCATTTAGTTGTCAGAATGCAACAGGACATTGAGTATTTTATTGAGTCAGCGATGTCGGTATCCATAACACATAGAGTTTCCCAAGAAAAGAGCATGCCAGATTGCGTGTGAAGGCTAGGAATCGAACGAATGAGGATGATCAAGAAATAGGAATAGAACTTCTACTAGACCAAGAAGAGTGATCGCTAAACGCCGTGAAAAGTAGGACATAGTAGCAACTAATTCGTGATGCTGAATATCAACGGAGTTGAAGCGCACGCGTCTGCGATGTATCTTAGCAGCCGCTGCGCCTATCCAATGACAAGAATTAGCAATTCAGGGTAGTGGCTTATTGCCTATAACGTATGTGATAAGACTAAAAGCAAAAATGCTTAGTAAAATGTCAAACCACCTTCGGTTTGTGGCTACTAAGAGGCAGTCACTGGTCTTCAGACGCAGAGAATCCATCCGCTGATACAGAGTTAAGCCAACTTATTTGTATCGCCATATCTGCAAAGTTCGGTTGGAAGCGGGATTCATCGAACCAGTTTTTCACCTCCAATTCATTTGTGCCTACGACCGTTTCAAGTGCCTCTGCCCATTTACCGAAAGTTAAGGGCCCTAAATCCTCAGGTATAATACAAGAAAACGACAGTGAAAATACAAGACCCACCAACACACTTAATCTTCCTGAGGTAACCTGGAGTATCTACCTTGGAACTATGCATTCCCTTTTTTCAGGAATCCTCCGAATGGAAACGTTTGTGGAACTCCCACCAGTGGTGTAGTGTTGTGCCGCCCCGTCTGCTCAATGCACGATGAAATGAGAACACCAAAAGACCAGCCAGGACCGAGAGTTCATATTGTATAAAAGCATAGCGGAATAAATAGGATAAAGGCAACTACTAAACCTAACAATATCGGAGATGCTTATATCCATTAAAACAACTCAAACGGTTCAAGTTCGGGGTTCAGCTTGCTACTGAGCAGACGTAGATTCGCGTTTGACTGTTTGAGTTCAATCTTCAAATGTAGATCAAGCCAATCTTGCACCAAGGCTCTCAGCTTGAACACTGGCTGTAAGCTGACTCCCCGTAACACGTAACAACTGCTTTTGCCCCCCCCCGGAACGGTTGTAGGATTTTTGCCCTTCCCTGGCAGTTGTAGACCAGTAAACCCTAAGCATTGCGAACAATGACGCAATATTCCGCTTCATCCAACAACGAACAAAGATTTCCATTTATCATAATGAATCAAGGGATGCGGTATATGCGTAAAAAATTCTTTTCGGTAATTTTCATTTGAAAGAACGCAAGATAATATCACCGCGGTTGAATGTACTGAAGAAAGAACTAATGGTGCATTTTGTTTTCAAAGGCGACAGTGCGGCTTATGCCCTGTCCAAACGCCTGAAAGACGCTGTTAAAAACACTTGTTTCACGGCTCGCCTACGCATAGTATTTTACAGCAATCCATTATTCGCAAAACCTTTGAAAGACAGACCTCCTCCGGTGACTCGATAAGTGCTTGTTTATCTTTACTCGTGCTCCAGTGGTGCACGATAGTTGGGTCGTACTACGAGACGCCTATCTCAAAGGATTCGGGAACACATCCCGAGGTGGCTTTACAAAGGTGAAGCGAGGTCTAGTAACAGCTCCATCTTCTCGCATCTTCTAGAGTGAGGTCACGCAAAGACGAAAAACGATTTCAGAGTCCACCATGCCATCGCTGGACGTTGCTCGCGCGGATTCCAGAAGCATCCCCTGTCTATTGCGGAAGGAATCTATTTCCGCCACCACAAGCCAGAATGGTGCGTGGCCTACAACTTCTGCTGTGATTTTTACCTGTACAAAATTAACCACTCTCAAGGACCCCAAGATTTATAGGTTTCTTCCTGTTGGAATTAAACATTCTGATCAATACTCAGCCCAATCTGGCACATTTAAGCACTTTGTCGTCATCAAGTAATGTTAGGGTCTGATGAGAATTACCGAAAGGAATTCTTTAGACTCAGCCTTCCTTGATTCATTCTAATAAATGGGAATTTTTGGAGTGCTGAGGATTAGCATTTCCAGTAATTCAGGCAAACAATCAAAGATCTAAGTTTAGAGTGCTGCTCTAAGCGCAGGCATTTGGATTGTCACAGTACTCGTGTACACAAGTTACAGACACATGCATGCTTATGTTGTGTCCAAATTATGGATAAAACTATCAGAATAACGCCTATCGGCAAGTTTCGTCGCTATGGCGAAAACTTTCATGTACTCATTCAAAATCTTCAACAAATCACGGGCAATGATGTTCTGCAGCAAAGCAAATATTCCCATTGCATTCAAATGAATCCAGACCAGAAAGCAGTTAAGGGTTAAGAATCCTACTCGGCAAACTCTCCTCAGACCCAAACGTTTACATAACGCTGATTGTGTGGGGTAAACGTCAAATCGGGCTGGGATTGATTTCTAAGGCGTTTGAACAGTCATAATCGATGACTAAAGACGGTTGCAGATAGCAAGAAAAGTGCATCAAAGGAAAATTAATACGCATGATTCAGCAGTCCAAAGGAAATAGGCAAGATCACAAACGGGAACTAAGTAACCATGTCAGTCGGCCACGGTGGTTGTATCGGCCGTATGAATTCCGGCTTCAGATGATGGATGAGAATAGTCTCGCAATAGACGATCTGCTTTCGGAATCCTTGCGAGAAGCGTTCAGGTAGTGAGTTTCAAGTCATTCTCAGATGCAGTGTGGCCACATTCGAGGAGGTGCGACATGATTAAGCTGTCTGAGGACCGTATTTCTCCTTTGTAAATCCATGTGGGGTTGTGCATGCGAATCCTCTGGGATAGGCGTCGTGTTGTTTGACCCACGTATATTGCACCACAGAAGCACGAGTACTGAGAAACGAGCATTGGACGGGTAAACGATGGCAGACTATCTTTCTAAGGTTTTGAAAGCAATGACTTGTTGTAACAAACAATTCTCAAGCGCGCTGTGAAATAACTTTTCTCAACATCATCTTTCAAATGTCGAGATAAGATATCAGCTGCAGGATCGCCCTTAAATGAGTGTAATGCTCCTAGGTTGCTTTCGCTTTCGTTCTTTCAGATGCTTCATGAGGAACTTATCGGAATAACCATTTTCTCGAAGGCGTCGGTGACTCTCTATAGCTCTCCACTGACGGTATCCGGGGTGCAAATACTGCGCGCCCTGAAGGTAAGAGATCGGATTAAACTTTTGTGCTGTAAAGGCACTGCGCCGTGAAAGTCTGCTGCCCGGTTCACGTATGCTTTCTGTGTACCTTTCTGCTACATGAGTCGTCCGAGTTGTGGATGACTTCTACATCCAAGAAAGGCAATCGGTTTCTGTTTTCGTCCTCACAGGTGAAGCGTAAATTCTTATGTGCGTCCTCAAAGGCTCTCAACAACTGTTCTGCCTGGTTTTCGGATCCGCAAAGCACGAAGGTATCATTGACATATTGTAAGTACATTTCAGTTCCACAGATGTGCGTCCTGAGTGTGTCATGTTCTAATTTAGCCATAAAGATATCAGACAACAACGGCCCCAAAGGAGATCCCATGGCCACCCTATTAATCTGACAGTACATCACACCATTGAAGGTGAATTGAACATTTAACGTGCAGCGAAGTAGTATCTTTGTTAACAAACCCCCCGGAAAAGTTGCGTATATTGGCAGTTGCCGGGACAACTCGCACACGTATTCCACCGTTTCGAGCAGTGGAATGTTTGTAAACAGTGACTGGGCATCAAAAGATATCATCCTTTTGTTAGTAAAGTTGAGTGCAGATATCTTCTCAATCAATTCGAAGGAGTCACTTACACAGTAAGTGCAAACCATATCCCCTACCGGTTGCAATTTGTTCACCATCCATTGGGCCAAAAAATGCTGGAGAGAACCTACCATGTCCAAGATTGGACGCATTGGGGCACATTCCTTGTGAAC